CCATACATCTTCATGTACATATTTCAAGCGAGTCCTATCATTTAAATAGCCGGCCGATAAAGTCTGTGGTGTGCGGTGGCTCTTATAGCTCNTGGATTTTTTTTTTTTTGAAAAAGTTGGTACAACAAAAAATACGAAACACGTTTTCTGTCAGATAGCTAACATGGCGGATAAGAAGAAGAAGTGAACCCAGCAAACACAGTCTCTAACGTTAGAGAAATTTGGATTTCTACAGTGCCCTTCCCCCTTCCTCGTCACTCACTCTCCTTAAGTAACGATTTGCCGCGACAGAAGTTACTCTGAATGAACCTAGACTTACCGCCCTATTCCCACACCACTGAAAAAACTCAGCGGCTGACTATTGCCTTTACTACTAAGTAAGTGACAACGGCGAAACAATGTTTATATTGTGTTTTAGGCGCAGTAATTGTGACAATAGTCATATGAAGAATTTTGTCAGTGTTGTGGGAATAGGGCGGTAATACCATGTTCGGACCGACAACGAAAAAACTTTGAAAACAAATTTTGGGAGGTGGACAGTAAGCTGTTCGTACCGCCTTTTAGTGTTTCCGTTAACATTTCCTTCATCCTTTGATAACAGTTTTGCTACGAAAAAACATAACCAAAATTTTTTTCTTTCATTTTCTTATTAGGGACCTTCATTAAAAGTGATAAACTCTTGACAAACTTGACGTAACAAAAGCACCATGCACTAAACTCTAAAACCTTTGCGTTTTCAATAAAGAAAATCACTAAATTTAGTGCGAAACGCACCAAGTTGGCAACAGTGCTAACCATATAAGATATATAATCAACCATTTTATGTAATTATTTACCGAGATAAGTTCATGTAAGAAAGTGGATAAACTGATACATTTAAGCATTTAATCACTTTATCACTTTAGATGACGACCCTTATAAAAGCCAAAAATCAACGACAAAATATACTCATCCTTCAATAAATTAAAGCCACCTGGTCATACTATCCGAATAACAAAATAAAGCATGAAAGAGAAATGATAAACCGAACCGAAGTGGGATAAGCAAATAAAATCTGAAATCTGAAAGGCACCAGGCACTGCAAGGTGTATTAAACAAGGTGGTGTTGGGGCGACAGCTGAGTTTTTCGCCGTAGAGGCCATTACGTCAAAATGATGTTTTTTTTGTAACTCATACCAATGACAGTATGGACATCAGCGTATAAATTGTTAGTGTAATTTTTTACTTATATACGGCCAACACCATGATTCAATAATACAAGGTTCGATAAACTGACAGTTGTCTCTCTCGCACCGCTCCCTTAGCAGTGGCACCGTGTTGCTTCTTTGCAAATTTACATGGAAACAGTGTAGCTTTGGTGTGAAATAAAGTATAAGCTTTTGTGCAATATGTTTACTTGTATATGCATATGAAGCATATTTAACTGATGAAAACATAAGCATTGGATGTTTACATCAATCTCATAGTAGTGTTATTTTAATTTTGAGTCATTTTGCAGTTTTTATACGGCTAAATAGTATATAAATTACGTAATTCACGTAGATATATCAATATTACGTTCAACATTTCGTTTAAAATGCCAGATATCCTGCACATACATTAGAATTTACAAAAGGAATTTCACTACTAATCGCGTACTTTGCGTACTTTTTTACTACCATTTTCGCGACAAGGGATTGCATTCTTGCCCTTTCTCTGTCCTTCGTAAATGCAACCTTTTGTAAGGGAGTGTCAAACCGCAGCTGTCAATAATTATCTAACCTTGTATTATTGAATCATGGGCCAACACCACCTTGTTAAATACGCCTTGAGGCACTGGAAAAGAATTTAAGTCGTCATCATTAGTCAATTCGGAAACTGTAGAAAGACTTATTAAAATAATTTGTTGCAAATTATATACATACATTTACTTATTTGCTTGAAATAAAGAGCTGCAATGTCCAAAATACTTGCTGTGCCACCTAAAAAGCCTGCGGAGGTTGAAATTGTTAAGCCGCTAAACAATCTGATCCAAAGTACATACAGTGGTGCTAGTGCAGAGGAAAAGGCCAAATACTCTGAAGCTGTAAACGAGTTCTCAAAGCAGCGCAACACGGCTATATGGAAGTTCTTCGAAAAATATGAATCCTCACTAGAAGTGGTCTATGCGTAAGTATCTAATTAAAATTCCAGTAATCAAAGTGCCTGCATACATTAATTTTATGCATACATATGTGTGTACATATTAACATACTGAAATATGTATGTGTAGTCTTGGGAATTAACAGATACGACCATAACACAAATGAGTCATGAATTCTTTTATAACTTTTCATCAAGTAATACCCTCTACTCGAAGGTACGGAAAGTACAATGAACCAATTTGATTTTCATAGTGTGTATATATTTGTTTATGTTTGTTTGTAAAGTGGTCATCAGGATGAAAGCAATATTACTTTCCTTGTGTTTTGTTTATCTTTTAATAGCTATTTCGATCAAATCTGCGCTTTGGAAACCAAAATTCCTGTAAATGAACTTCAAATTCCTTTTAAATGGAAGGATGCATTCGACAAGGGATCAATTTTTGGAGGTCGCATTAGTTTAAGTAAGCATATTCTTGCATCTACATATAATGCATGACACAATTCAAATTTTATTGAAATCCATAGCTCACACATCACTGCTATACGAAAAGGTGTGCGTGCTATTCAATATTGCTTCTCTGCAAAGCAATGTCGCGGCATCTCAAACTTTGGATAGCGATGAAGGTTTAAAGATTGCTCTGAAGCTGCTGCAGCAAAGTGCTGGTATATTCCAGTACCTCAAAGGTGCTACACCGGCAGCTATACCATCAGAACCTACTCCTGATTTGAGCCAGGATACCTTGATTTGCTTACAAGCATTGATGGTAGCGCAGGCACAAGAAGTTTTCATTTTAAAGGCTATAAAAGGTTTGGAACTTACATAGATTTGTATAAAATGTATGTTTGCATATTGTATTATATGTATATTTTTTAGACAATATGAAAGATCAAATTATAGCTAAACTGTGTTGCCAATGCGAGGAGTTCTACGCCGACGTATTGCGGGCAATGCAAAAAGAAAGCGTTCGTAATATTTGGGAAAAGGAATGGATACCAGCCATTGCCGGAAAACAGGCAGGTTTTCACGCTCTAACACAACTATATCAAAGTTTAGCATGCCGTGCCGCGAAGAAGATAGGTGAGGAAATTGCACGATTGCGATCGGCTGTTGAACTATTTAGAGCAGCGCAAACACGTTCGGGCAATTCAACCTATCTTGATGAATTTTTTACACGTGCCAAGCGCAATTTAGAAGAATCAACTAAAGATAATGAGTTCATCTATAATGAAATTATACCCGAAGTCAGTTCTTTGCCATCACCCGGAAAAGCTCAGCTGGCCAAGGCTTTGCCCTTGAACTCACCTTTGGCAAGTAATTTTAAGGACATCTTCTCGGAATTAATACCAGTCGAGTTACACCGGGCTTTGACCGCATCTGATATGCGTAAAAATGAAATTGTGAATGGAGAGATAATGAAACTTCGGGAGGCAACGCAGACTCTAAACGGCGTGTTAGCTAGCTTAAATTTACCGGCTGCTGTTGAAACGACAGATGCAGGTAGCGGTTTGCCACCATCACTACGCGAAAAAGCTGTCGATGTACGTAACAAGGGTGGTATTGAGAGTATAAATACTTATCTTAAAGAGCTGCCAGAGTTGTTGCAGCGTAATCGTGAAATATTGGATGAAACAGAGCGTATATTAGATGAAGAACGTGACTCTGATAATCAATTGAGAAATCAATTCAAACAGAAATGGACTCGCATACCATCTGATAAGCTTACTGAAATGTTCCGTACTAACGCAAAGAAATATCGTGAAGTAATCACAAACGCGATTGAGGCAGACAAGATTGTGAGACAAAAGTTTGAGAAAAATCAAAAAGTAAGTAAAATTTGTAATGGAAGCATATTCAGCCAGGTAAATTATGGATTTAACTGATTTATAAATAGTTTTTGTTAGCTAATAACAACTTAACACACATAGAAACTATTTCTTACCGCACTCTTGCTTGCTTATTAATTTTATGTATGTTTGTATTAATCAACCATATTTTTTAGGGTATTGAATTGCTTTCTATGGCTCCGGAGCAAATACAAGAAGCAGTCCCAGCTGCTGGAGGTAATATCGATCCAAATTGTCCAAGTGTTCAAAAATTGAAAAGTCTTATGGAGGCTGTAGAAACTATCAAAGCAGAACGCGATGCAATTGAATTAGAGTTGAAATCGGCTACTTTCAATATGAAAGACGAGTTTTTAACGGCACTACAAAAAGATGGTGCTATAGATGAGCCAGCAATTTCGTTATCTCAAATTGGAAGAGTTTTGAGTCCACTTCAGTCGCAAGTAAAAGAGAGTGTAGAGCGTCAAGTGACACTCGTTAGTGACATTCAGCAATCTCACGAGCAGTTCGTTACCGAAACTGGAAGTTGCGGCAGCTCGCGTGATAAACTTTATCAAGAATTGGCCACCGCTTATGATAGTTTTATCGAGTTGCTGGGAAATTTGAAAGAAGGCACTAAATTTTATAATGATTTAACAGAACTTTTGGTCGTATTCCAAAATAAAATATCAGATTTTTGTTTTGCTCGAAAAACGGAAAAAGAAGAACTTCTTAAGGATTTGACAACAGAGTCAAGCCGCCCTGCCATTGGTCCGACACCGACTTTACCCTCACACTATGCATCTACATCAGGCAGTGGTATACGAATTTGTTTCCATTCCTTTGTATAAATCTAATAAAATTTATTTTCAGATGTAAGTCCATCCAGTTCAGCGTCCTCAGTTCCGGATGCACCGGTACCCTCGAGCGGAAATGTTCCTTATCCGCATCAAATGCAAGGCATGCCGATGCCATATGGCGCCACACCGGGCGTCCCTTATCCAACATACGTTCCACCACCACCAATGCCACAGGGATTTAATCCATATGCAACGCTGCCTTATCCAGGAAGTACGCCAAATCCTCAACAATATTTGCCATGTGATATTCGTTAAATATATGACTTCATATTTTTTCTCCTTACTTAGACCCTTATCAATACAGTGGATTTCCGCAAGGGCCTCAGCCGGGCCACTATGGAACTTATCCGGGAAGTTTTGCACATCAGCAGGGAGGTTATCCAAATCAAAAGCCACCAGGCTGGTAAAATTCTTTCTAAATCTTTTCCAGAGTTGCAATCTCTTCTTATATTATTCGTCATTGTTTTATTTTCCACTTCGAAGGAATGGAAATTGATTTTATAATTGTAAAGTTTTGCACTTGAATTCTCATATCGAAAATATTTTTGCTTTCAGTATAAATTATTTAGTATTATTATCCAAACGCAATGCAACAATAATATGTACTCGTATACTCATAGATACACATAAACATACATATGCATAAAAATTTATGTATATGAATATATGGACTTTTGAAAATTATAAAAAATAAATTAAAACATCATGTTAATCTTTAAACAGTCCTGCTTGTTTTACCGATAATGATATAAAACAGTAGTTGTTCACAATTTATAACGTTTCAGAAACTCGCTCTTAATATTTTCTATTACGAGAGGATCGCAAACACTGTTTATTAAGGCTTTTTTAATGTGACT